CACCGAGTAGCGCCATGGGAAGTAAAGACGCTCCTTGTCATCTTGTGAGAGTGGGATTGAACCCTCAATGTGCTTCCCTTTGTCCAGTTCTGGAATTTGTTGGTGGTCTATCTCGTAGTAGTTTGTTTGGTTGCTCACTGGTTTATCCAGGAGCATTTCCTTATAGGAGTGATGAGGTAGTTCTACCTCCATTTGGCTGTGTTTATCTGGGGGTTCCGGTGGGAGTGGTGGCTTAATCGGTGGGGGATCCATAGCTGTAGGGGTCTTACAGGGTGTACAGAGAGAAATTCCCGGAATCCACTGGCAGGATTTTTAAGAATGCGTGATCTACATTAGCATTAACGGATGAAAAGAGTGATTTGCATAAATAGGACATTTTAGGTGTCACTCTTGACTATTGATCCCGCTTGTTTTATAGGCAGAACTTCAAGTTTAACAAGTATTGTCCATCGCTTATTCTATGGGCAACATTTTGACTTTTGATCTTAAAGGTTTGCTCATGAGCAAGCAGGGGTCAAAAAATTAAGACCATCAATTTTTAAAGTCGTCAAAAAATTAAGACCATCAATTTTTAAAGTCATTTTGTGTAATTTCCTGTATCTGAGACGACATCCCACAAAACTCTATTACGACCTCGTGTTGCTCCTATTGCGATAATGGTCATTGTTTGCAATAAATTTTCGAGATATGGAAAAGATAAACTGCAACCACAAAATAAGAGAAAATATTTTTACTAATCAATTGTGAGTACAATTATGTTTCTCCCTTGCTTATTCTCTCCCGATTATCCCCTTGATTCGAGGACTAAACCAGCATATTTCTCGAACTTAGGATGATGGATATCTTCTTGGGATGTATTTGATCTCCATGAAAGGATATCTCAATTAAAGGATGTTGTGGGTCTTCTTGAACAATTTGATTGTCAAGGAGTATCCACCCATATTTTGATCTCTTTGTGAATATCCCAAGAGTTTGTGGGATTTTCTAGATGATCTCCATTTTTTAGATCCTTTGTTAAGGGAATATATAACCTTTTCTATAGGAGTAACCTAGGGTAAGGGTAGAGTAGCCTCCAAGTTAGGGTTTTGGTAAAGTAGCCTTCAAGCAACTCTAATAGACTCCTAGGGTTTCAAGAGTCGTCTTGTAGCTAGCGTTTTGCCATAGATTCCCAAATTTGTTTTGAAAAATCTGATTTGGGTGAAGTTCGGTTTGAAGATGAAAATATATTTGGACATACGTTTTCAAAACATATTTCCCAAATTTATTTTGGAAAACATGTATATTATTAGTGTTTGTAAAGATTTTGGCCCAAAACCAGCTAAATAGCTGGTTTTGGGATTTGGGATTTTGCCAAAATATAGGCAAAATCTATGGCCAAACATGCATTTGCCAAATAAAACCCAAGTTTATTTTGGCAAAATCTATGGTCAAACGGGTAGTATCTTGAGTTTAGGATTCAGCTTGATCTGTTAAAATTCCGCTGTCTACCGTCATCATGTAATAGTGTGCGGAGAATTTTTCTCAAGCACTATAGACCTATATATACTATTTTAAAAAGATTACTCATATATACTTTTATCAGTGTTTCCATTTTGCTTTGATGTTATTGTCTAAGCTAGCGTTTGGCCGTAGATCCCAAATTTATTTTGAAAAATCTGATTTGGGTGAAGTTTGGTTTGAAGATGAAAATGTGTTTGGACATACGTTTTCAAACATATTTTCCAACTTTATTTTGTAAAAACATGTATATATACTTCCCAAGTTTTGGGATTTTGGCCCAAAATCAGCTCAATAGCTGATTTTGAGATTTGGGATTTGGGATTTGGCCAAAATATGGGCAAAATTTATGGCCAAACATGAGTTTTGAAAATAAATCTCAAATTTATTTTTGCAAAACTCATTGCCAAACGGGACCTAAGTGTACCATTCTGTTAATTGCTAGGAGTCTTTGTTACATGGATTAGGCTTAGCCTGGAGCTCCAAAAGTTGTGTCGCAATAAGGCTTCATAAAATTTCCTTGAAGCAATTTTATGTGTTTTTTTCTTTGAACTCTACCGGGGATGTTCAAATACATTGTACTGGTAGGACATGTTCAAATGACAAATGTATTACTAATAAAAGAAATAGATTGGCAATTAGACGTTTAGACTAGAAGAAATCTTTTCACTTTAATAAGAAACAAAACAGAAGTGGAAAAAAGGAAGTAGAAGCTTCATATTCTCAAAATACTGGAACATCCCATGTGTTATTTTGAGATGTCTATATTAACGTGTTACTTGTTAACATCCAAGTTCATGTTTGCCCTTACATCATCAGTTTGGCGATCCCCTTTAATTTTGCCATGACTCAGTATTTCAGATACTGAAGTTTATTAGAAAAATGTATATTTTTAGCCGTTTTCAGAAATAATAGCCAACAAAATGTATATTTTTTGAATATATGTGTATTATATACATAAAATATACATTGTTTATACAATTTTCGGTTAGCGAATACAATTAGTTTCAGATCAGTGTTTTGTATTTTGCCCAATTTAATGACTCGTTTGTCCATAGATATTTTTTCCTTTTCTCGATTTTTTTTTAAAACGTATTTGTCCATGAAATTTTGCAAGTATTTAGAAATATTTCGAAAATTAGTTTTTCTAAAACCAAAAAGTGGTTTTTACCACTTCTTCAAAATTTTCAGAAATTTATGTTTCCCCATGCACAAAATCTCTAACATTTTCAAGTGAAATGCATGTCCAACCATAATTTCAAATTTCAAATACCACTTTTCAACTTAACTCCAAATATTATTTTTTTTTAAAAAAAAAATATAATATTTACGTCCAAACGCCTACTTATTATTTCCAAATATTAGTTTGGTTGTAAATAGTGGACTTCAAGTGAAATATTGAAACACTAGTTAAAGGTGTAGATTTCTTTACATTTACTAAATCTTTTTTCCAAGTGCAGCTCCCGTCCAAACACTTCTATTAACTTTTTTTTTTTTTTTTTCATAAATTATTTTAACTTCAAAATACTCTTTTTTTTTCTGACTTCAACTCAAATTTGTCCAATTGCCTGCACGTACCATATCCATAACTTCACTACAATCTACTATTTATTGTAATTTTAGTGATTTTTGAGACTTGAAAAAAGTGTTTTTGAATTTAGTGAATCTTATGAGATAGTGTGTGAATAAAATGTTTAGGAATTGAAAATTGCAAAGCAACAAAAAGACATTAGGCACCTTGGATTTTATACTCCAATAGTCAATGAAGTGATGAGTTGAGAATCAAGAGGTCTGAGGTTTAAATTTAGGAGACAAAAAACATTAGGTGATATCTTTCCATCTGTCAAGCTTGATAGACATAGTTACACGGTACATATACTAGTGAAAGGTAATATATATGTACGTCGTAAAATTAATTGAGGTGCTCACAAGTTGGTCCACACACTATTGTTACTAAAAATAAAATGAGACAAACATGTGAATTGGTAACATCAGTGCCTTTGACACATGAGAACAAAACACTGTACTCTTTGATTGACTTGGTTAGGGTCAGCTTAAGAGCCATAATTTTTAAACAATAATAAGCCTTGTTATTTTACAATCTCATTTAGCCCTTCTCTTTAGGCAGCTGTTATCTTTTTATCCCCAAGTGTAAAATCTCTAATTCTGTTGCCTGGAACTGGAGATATTGTCACTGAAATATGCAAATGAAGTGGTTGCATTATTAGCATTTATTATTAAATAAATACACATTCTGAGAAAATATAGTCTTTTCAAGGTCCTACTCAAAAAGTACTCACTTTAAAAACTGAAGCAAGGGGTTAAGGAGATTTAATAGACAACAAAACGAAACAGCTCAGTGCGTGGATCATTTGATAAAAATTACAATTTGGTCAAATCTTGTATTTGTCATTTTTTTTTTTACTGAATTTATATAAATTATTAATTTAGAATCCAATAACTTTAGAACTTCGAATCTGTAAACTTCAAATCACGGCTCCGCCTTTGCTCTAATAACGAACTGCACTGCTAGACTGTGACCAAGCTCTATACCAAAAGAAATAGAGGCAGAGCTAGGATTTAAAATTTCTGCGTTCTGAATTTGCCATCGAACTAGTTGCTCATTTTAGTTACTAAGTTTGCAATTAAATATTTATAATATATGTAATAAAATTCCTAATACCAATACAGGGTTTAAGCAAAAATTATTGGGTTAATTGGACCCATACCAAATACTAATCTAGCTCTCTCCTATTGAGAAATTACTTAGAGATACGCATTTTATATGATATATGATATTCTTTTTTAAGTGTGTTTTAAAGTTGTGAAAATTGAAGACATTAAAGAGGAGGTCAAGTCTTTTGACCAGTTTTATGTTGTTCATGCTCCAGTTTTTCTGGTGATATTAGAGTCCCATATTGGTTGAGAAGCAAGACAAATAAAGATAAAGATTGTAACAAAAGCAACCAACATAAAATAGTATATCATGACATCTAAAAAGCTAATTATCGACCTAGCCAAATGAATATTCATTCCTTGTATCGATAATGTTAATTTCATGTCATTTTGAGTAATTTTGTATATAATTAAAACTTCTTGACATACTTTCCACATTCTTCTTGAATAGGCAATTTAGAAGGCCTTTTTGTTATTGCCTTTGTTAATACGACACAAACTTCTCAATTACAAAGCATATATTAAAGACAATTTCAAAGCCCTCAATGTATTTAATTACTATACGTGTTTGTTATAACATTGGTTTCTTACCAGCCTCATAGAAATGAACGATTCATATTCATCTGAACTATCTATCTTGTATATTTAATCTTATTTTGTGTATTTCCAAGTATTTTTTTTTATTTAAAAAAAATGCAGCAATGTCTCTAGAAGCTTGTTCATTGTAAGAATCAGAAGCTTCATTTTGTCGTTATAAACGCTGGAAAATCCCATGCCTAACAACATTAAAAAAAATGACTAACGAGTAAACATCATCCTCAAAAATCCAGTTTCACACTGCCAACCACACACTACACATAAGATAATGTCCATTAAGTTTATGTCTGCTTTAAACGGAGCCTTGGAGCAACAGTAAATATGTCTTTGTGTGTGACCTGTAGGTTACGTGATCGAGTCGTACAAGCAGCCAATTATAATGCTTGCATTAGGGTAGGCTGTCTACATCACACCTCTTGGAGGACGATCCTTCCTCAAACCCGGCATAAATGCGGGATACTTTGTGCACCGGAGTTGCCCTTTAACCACACACCGCACTTAAGATAATGCTGAATATGCTTATGTCTGCTTTAAAGGAGCTAGCCTTGAAGCAACAATAAAGTTGTCTTCGTTTGTGACCTGTAGATTACTGGTTCGAGACATAGAAGAAGCCAATAATGCTTGCATTAGTAGGCTGTCTACATCACACCTCTTGAAGTATGACCCCTTTCTCAGACCCGACATAAAATGCGTGATGCTTTGTGCATCCGGTGGCCCCTTTAACCACACACCACACTTAAGATACTGTTGAATATGCTTATGTCTGCTCTTACGTCATCAATTTACAATAAAACATGTACTATAAAACAAGCAATGTTGAAACAATATAGTAACCCCTAAGACATACCAAAAATTCTCTGATCTTTTGACTAATATTTTACTACCAAAGGTATCAAACAATGGGTATTCTCACAGTTCAGCCACATTTTGTGTTATTTCCTTTCATGGCACAAGGTCACACTATCCCTATGATTGACATTGCGAGGTTATTAGCACAGCGCGGAGTAATAATCACAATCTTCACTACACACTTAAATGCCACTAGATTCAAGACAGTTGTTGATCGCGCTATAGAGTCAGGACTAAAGATTCAAATAATTCAGCTCTATTTTCCAAGCTTAGAGTCAGGACTACCTGAAGGATGTGAAAATTTCGACATGCTTCCGTCTATGGATTTGGGGTTGAATTTTTTCGATGCCACGAAAAAACTTCAACCCCAAGTGGAAGACTTGTTGCAAGAATTGAATCCATTGCCAAATTGTTTAATATCTGATATGTGTTTCCCTTGGACTACTAATGTTGCGCAAAAATTTAACATCCCTAGGATTGTTTTTCATGGGATGTGTTGTTTCTCTTTATTGTGTTTACATAATTTGAGAGATTGGAAAGAGTTGGAAAATATAGAGTCTGATAAAGAGTATTTTCAAGTGCCTGGATTATATGACAAAATTGAACTAAGCAAAATTCAGCTTGCAAATATTGTTTGGCCAAGAGATTCATATTGGAAAGAATTAGGGGATCAAATGAAGGAAGCAGAGGATGAAGCTTATGGGATAGTAGTGAATAGTTTTGAGGATTTAGAACAAGAATATGTCAAGGGATTGGAAAAGGCCAATGACAAGAAAATTTGGACTATTGGCCCTGTTTCGTTATGCAATATAGAGAAACAAGACAAAGCTGAAAGAGGGAACAAGGCTTCAATTGATGAACACCAATGCCTAAAATGGCTAGATTCTTGGGGAAAAAACTCTGTACTCTTTGTTTGTCTCGGAAGCCTATCGCGGCTTCCAACACAACAAATGATAGAGCTTGGGATTGGTTTTGAATCGTCGAAACGACCCTTTATTTGGGTTGTTAGACACATGTCAGATGAGTTCCAAAAATGGTTAGTTGAAGAAAATTTTGAGGAAAGAGTTAAAGGACAAGGAATTCTAATCCATGGTTGGGCACCACAAGTACTAATATTGTCTCACGCTTCAGTTGGTGGATTTTTGACGCATTGTGGATGGAATTCGAGTCTGGAAGGAATATCAGCTGGCGTGCCGATGATCACTTGGCCATTGTTTGCTGAGCAATTTTGCAATGAGAGGCTAATAGTGAATGTATTAAAGACAGGAGTAAGGGCTGGGATTGAGAATCCTGTGATGTTTGGTGAGGAAGAAAAAGTGGGAGCACAAGTAAGTAAAGATGATATTAAGAAGGTAATTGAAGAAGTATTTGGTGAAGAAGAGGAAGCTGAAATGAGAAGAAAAAGAGCTAAAGAACTAGGAGAAATGGCAAGGAAGGCTGTGGAGGAAGGGGGTTCCTCTTACTTCAATTTGACACAATTGATTCAAGATGTCACTGAGCAAGCTAAATTTTGAAAATCCATCTAGGATTACAAAAAGTTGGCTTAGGAGAGGTGCAATGTATGCCATATAGTTCAAATCAAGTTGTGAGTGAAGTTAAGTTACTTTAATGTTAAAAAAGAATATTTTTGTGACATTATTGTTATAGTGGATAAAATTACACATATATTCCCTCCGTTTACTTTTAGTTGTCAAGTATTCTAAAAATAGATTTTCATTTTTACTTGTCACTTTTTGCATATCAAGAGAAAAATAATTTATTTTTTCTGTTTTGCCCTTAGCATTAATTACTCATTTCAAATAATTTTCTAAGTCCATTAAGGCTATACACCAATTAATATGCATTGATATGGCTATCATGGTAAATCATGCACTTTATTTACTATTTCTTAAGGGGTGTGCAAAGTCAATAGTAGACAAGTAAAAGTAAATGGAGGAAATAATTGATTTTCACTCATACCTGCAGATTTATTATTATATTCACCAGTTAATATAATGGCACTAATAAATACATGTCTTTTACACTGTCACTCAAGGGCGTATGTAGAGTATAATACATAGGCTCAGCCACACCCAATCGTGTTGATCCAAATCTTATGTATGTCTTGAGAAATTTATAAAATATAAATAAATAGGAATCAAACACCTTTAAGTCCTACTGTTCGACTATGATAATCAAATATTGATTAAACAACTGTGATAATTAACTGAAATACTTTTTGAGGGCGACATTTTTGTAAATTAAGAGCTATACTTGGCAAAAACTTCTGAGATATGCATGGTAATCCAAATTTTATACATGTTCCGTGCAGAAATTTGCAAAGTCTTGCCAATTTGTCTTTTGTAACATGCAATTATAAGTGTCCATTATTTTATATATATCAAGAAAATGACCACAAATAAAGAAAGCGCACAAGCAAGAACCATCTTAAATATTAACGTTTTGGATTTTAAAAAAGGGAACTAGGATTTGAATAAATTATTATACACATTAAGTAAACAAAATTATATTTCATACAAAATTTTTGTTAAAGATATTGAATCTTGTCAAATCTGTAATTAAAATTCTAACTCCGCCCCGGCCTCTTACGTGTTTGTGCACCATGATTTGGTACTGCTCAAGCTGCTTACCCACCTGCTTGGAGAATTGAGGCGGTGGGCTTATAAGTTGTTTCTATCTATTATATTTCGTCAATATCTAGATATCAATTACTACAAAAAACTCTCAAACTCTCACAGAACTTGTCCAAGGTTCCAAGAACTAAACTCAAGAGAATCAACTCAAATCCTCATCAAAGGTGTTAAAGACTACAAGAGAATACTTTTATGATGTTGTGGTGTGATTGAGGACTATTGTGAGCTAAGTGGGGATGGGGGTTCGAGTTGTAGCTTCTGTCCAAGGTATGTATAACATATTCTTGATTGTTCCTAAGGTTAATCTTGTGTTTGTTGTGTTGTTTGAGTGAAAAACCATAAGATGCACTTGAAGGAACATGGGATACGGTTATCTTTTTGGTTGGACTATTTTGTGGTTAAAAATATGGTTTGTGGTGGCTGAAAATTGTGAGAAATAATTTGATAATGTTGTGGATGCTGTTGTTAATCTTTCCTAGGTTTTAATTAAGTTGGTTGAAGAAGAAAAGATGAAAAATAAGTGATTGACAATAAAAATTAAGGTGCTAGACGTATGGGGCTGTTTTGGAAGGTATTTGTGGAGGTTTTAAACTAGAAATAATATGGTACATATAAGTATGATGAACTAAAGGTTGTAAACTAATTTATGGAATAAGATTTGGATTCAATTTATATCTTGTTATGAGTAAAAGAAACGAGCTTGCCGCTCAATATGATTGTTAAGATAATCGGAGAAACTCATATTGGATTATATTGTTCTTGTTGCTGGTGTTGGTTATAGTTATTGTTGTTGGGTTGTTGATGACCCTTAGTGGTCTTTGGGATGTATTAAAAATAAGGGAGTTACTTCCCGATTTTCCTTAAGTCATGCGACTAGCCAAATACGATGGTACGACATTATATGTTAACGGCAATATCATTTCACTTGTTGTAGATGCAAGAAGTTGTGTTGAGCCTGGTTGAGTAATAAGGAAGAGATCATACAGGTATGTTAAGGCTATCCCTTCTTTCTTTTTGGCATGATCTACAAAACACGAACGAAACGAGCAAATGCAAAAATTCCATAAATGACTATATTCATAGAAATACTAGAGATGCCTATGTTCTTAATTCCCTATATGTCTTATTATTCTATCATCTGTTCATGGGTCTCATAAGATTCCAAGAGATCATAGTGTCTTACTTCATTATGAATTGCATTCATTTATACATGTGCATTTACCCACGACTCATACGGCGTTATATACACGTATATATGTATATATATGTATATAGGATATGGGAAAAGGTTACGGCGTTATATACGCATCACCACCTGATCAGCTGGTATACGTTGATGATTTTGCCCACAGTGGCAGAGATGATATGATGGGATGCCCTCAGAGGCTTGATGATTTTATGAACACATGTACCTATGCACGACATGACATTCATACGCATATGCATGACACTATAAGTATTTCATGATTTACAGAGTTATCCAGACTTACAGGTTGAGTCACTTACTCTATATTTCTTCCATGTCTTTTATGTACTTATTTATGTGCCATACATACTCACTACATTATGTGTACTGACGTCCCTTCTGCCTGGGGACGCTGCATCTCATGCCCGCAGATCCTGATAGACAGGTCGAGAGTCCTCCAAGTAGGCTATCAGCTCAACGGAAGATGTTGGTGCGCTCCATTTGCTCCGGAGTTGCTTGTTTCGTCAGTATGATTTAGACACGTATTGTTTGGTATGGCGGGGCCCTGTCCAGACCTTTATGATAAGTATGTACTCTTAGAGGCTTGTGGACAGATGTCATGTATACGGATACTTGTATGGCCTTGTCGACCTATGTTCCGAGTATATAAAGAATCATGCCGGCCTTATAGGCCCGTACTTCATATATATAAGTTTGTATTCCCTCATGCTTTACTGTGGTTCATTTACCTATGATAGAATGATATGAAAGATACGTTATGTTGGTACTCGATTGAGTAAGGTACCGGGTGCCTGTCGTGGCCCATCGGTTTGGGTCGTGACAGGGGGTCCTAAATTTTTTAGCCTAAAGGATCACCCCGTGCAACATAAATAATACTTCGTAACTCCCTCGAGGACGGAGGTGTTACTCATATTATCCACCGGGCCAGGACTATCATCTCCTGTTACCCGATTACTATCTTTAAGTTGTTACTTAAAGCGCTCTAGTTGATTCTAGTTCGTTTCCCATGCGTGCACTACCCGTCCCTTATCTATGGTCCTGGAGGCATTAGGACCTCTATTTGGGATGGTTCTGGACTGAGCCTAGGTTGTTCAAAATTGTAAAATACTAGGCGACATGCAAAAACAGTTAGGACTTTCAGATAAAAAGCAGATACGGGCTCATATTGACCTCCACACATAAACAGCAAAAGCACGCAATTGATTGACAGGATTTATTAATCTCAAAGTCCTATAGGCAGGATATCTATGTAAGGAACAGGCGAGCAGTAATACACAGAAGCAGTCTTATTAATGCGAGTGTTAAGACCTATTATTTGCCTACTGATTTTTATTTAGTACAGTATCTGGGCATTTCAGAAAGTAATGCATTACAATCACAAATCCAGAATTGTTATTTTAGTCCTATAGTCATATTGTTTAAGTGATTGACATCGGCGATTGTATTCAGAGCCAATTAGTAGAATCCTATATGCGTGATTTCTACGAGCGCGATGATTGTTACCCTATAAGCAGGATATCTAAGTTGAACTGATTTTAATGATATCTAATGTTGAACTGATTTTAACCCTATAGGCATGATTTCTAGTTAAATAGCATACAGACAGAAATTTAGACACATTGCCAGAAAACAGTCGAGTCAAATATTGGTCCTATAGGCATGATTGCTAACACACTTTATTGGACAAATTAACGTATCCTATAGGCAGGATTTCTAATAAAAGCTGTAATCTTATAGGCAGGATTTCTAATGCAAAACTCATACGATTTTAGTAGAATCAATATCACCACTGAAAATCTTATAGGCAGGATCTCTAAACAACGTAAAACTTAACAACTTGGACAAAATGAGCAGAATAACAGCGTATATGAAGCCCTATAGGCAGGATTTGTACCCAGTTTAACAAAGAAAATAAGAAACCCTCCCGATTTTACTAAATACCCCAAAATCTGTTTATTACAAACTTATTACAGACCAGATTAGCAAATGAATTACATAAGAGTGATGAAATAAACTATAGGAAGCCCTTTAATAGGCCCAATACACCGGGCAACTAGGCCTTCAAACCATTACCATCTCGAGGCTTATTTCACAGGTACAGCATAACCGATATTGAGCAATTCACCCATAGCACATATAAAATTAGGTTTTCAGTGTGTCAAAGTCCCCAAGGGCCTTAGTGACCCAGGGCAATGCTTACACCAGAACCACATACTCAGAAATGATTCAAAGGAGATTAGGAACCAGTTCCCAGTGTGTCAGAGTTCACAAGAGTCTCACATAGACCCTGAGTAGTGCTTACACTGGGGTGGTTGAGGATTGAACCTAAAGGACCGAGATTGGAAGTTTTTTTAAAGTAACAACATATAAAAAGAGGTAGGGATAGATTTAAAATAGTTTGAATTTCTCAGAAGAAGACTACCATAACAGAATTGTAGAACACAGAACATGTAGGCATAATGGCATTAAGAAAACAAGCAAGGAAGGCAAAGTGCACAGTTTCAAAGAGGTCAAGTCAGAAAAGATCTAATTACACTAAGTGCATGCTAATATTTAGGACAACCTTGTCTAATCACAGAAACATTTAGGCAGAGTGCTAAGGCAAACAGACATGTTATCACATGAATCCAGAGGGATACAAGACCTCTTAGCAGGGCACATGAATTAGGTTGCAACACAAGTCTGTAAAGTGATGAACTAATTTTATGCTAGTGGTATCCTAAGGATACTAAGTTCAGAACAGGTTTAGGATTAGCAAACACTGTGCATGAGACAAGTTAAAACATTAAGCTAGGTTTTAAGAGGATTTATATTATAACCAGTTAACAGTATCAATCATGAACTCA